CCTCCCTCCCTCCCTCCCGCCCTCCTTACTCTCACTCCTCTGTCCGCTCGCTGCCTCTCTCTTTCTCCTTTGCCCCCTCCACGCTTTGTCTCAGTCTATCGCATTCTGTCTGCCCGCCTGAGTTATTTTTCTATCTCTCTTCCCTCCAGTCCCACCCTGGCCCCTGCTCTCTGTTTGCCTGGGTCATGCCAGGAGCACTGGTTGGGCAGCGGGGGAAGGTCTGCAGCAGTCACAGTTTAGAGATGTATTGGATCTTACTGCTGCACTTCACTTGTTTTGGCTGTCAGATAAGGGCAGCTTTATAAATGTTTGCGTTCCCCCCCCACTTGCCCTCAAGATATCTCGGGTGAGGGAGGCTTTTCGGGTGGAAAAAACTTGAAAGAATGTTTCATGCATACTGATACTGTATACATATATTACATTACATTACACGGCAAATGCAGAAAATACCGTTGTAGACTTCTTAAATATTATCTCATCTCAAGCACTTTGGCTCTTGAAAGATAAGGCTGGCTTTATCTATTTATTTACTACCTTTATGATGGTCAAATCCAATGAAAAACCAGGCCAGTAGTGCATCAGTCCATCTATCAATACTTTCCAACTTCCCTTCCCTGTCTGCAATACTCAACTGCGAGCGCATTTGTTGCTACTAAAGACGTAAATCTTTAAAAGTTGGTCACAAATATTTTGTTCGATTTTTAAAGAAAGGCTATGCAATGTCTTTAATCATCTGGGTACTGTAGTTTTTCCACAAATGTTACTCATTCAATTAATTTGTTAGGGATTATTTTCACTTAATTAATACATACATCATTAATACACGTTTGACGCACTACTGAGTATTTAAAGCACCAGGATCACGTATGTTATCAGGCTCAAGAACATTAACCAGGACAGAGCATCACGATGGCCTTAGTGACTAAGATGCATACAATGTACTATGATTGCTAAGTCCCCAGTTTGATTGCATATCACACCTCTTCTCTTTCGGTTCCTGTCACCTCTCTACCATCCACCTTTGAATACAGTGAAAAATGCCCCACAAAATACTTAAGAAATGCCACCAATAAATTTCCATAGAATGTATATTTAATGTGCTGTGTATGTTCTGGGCAACATTGACTCAATATGCATAAACTTAAAATGAACTACAGTAATCTCTGTATGTTATTCATAATAAAGGAACATGTCAACCAGTTTATTTTATATTTTTTGCACAAAAATGAATACTTGATAACAGGATCAATTCATTGTTGGGTTTTATTCTCTTTCTAGATTAGATGACAATTAGAAAATATAGAATATCACCAGACTTATCCTTTAATCACAGCAGCCTATGTGTTTTTTTTAAACTTGTGTATATTTGAGTTATTAGATATTTGCTCTGAGCGCATGCATATGTATGTAAAGTGCAGTCATGTGTACGTGCACGTAAGCGCGTCTTCTTGTTTACAGAGGATTGAAAAAGCCAGTTATGTAATATAAACCACTCTCACTCTCTTTCCTCCCTCTCTTTCACACTCATTCCTGTCATTCACACACTGTCTCTGTTTGTCTGTCCGTCTTTCTCGTCCCGTCCCTCTCTCACTCGCTTTCTTTCTTGCTTGCCAAGTTTCACACCACCTGCCCAAGGCAAAGCAGATTTACAGATTACCACCCTCTCAATGCTAAGCACATCACACGGACGCATGTAGACAGAAAGCTTCGCTCAGACACAAACACACACGCACACACACACGCACACAAACACACAAACACAAACACACACACACACAAAATCCCAGGCATGCAGTGCCACACTGGCTGTCCCTGCGTGAGCTCATTGCAGGGTTTTCCCTGTTTGTTTTGTCTTCTCATGGGAGTAGTGGAACATGGCTTAGGTTCATCCACAGGGAGCTGGTCACGCAGGCAGGCAGAGAGCTGGGTGAGCTCATGGATACCTTCGTGTAGTTTGACCTTTGGCTGGATTCAGGTTGACACATCATGCTGAGTCAAGTCAGAAAGTTGGAGTTAAGAAATGTAGAACCTAAATCTGGGCCCTGTCTGCATCAGTTCATCTCTATGTAATGCCAGTGTGGAAATCTGTTCATCATTTATTACTATTAAAGTGTGTGGTCGGTCCATCCTTCCTTCCTTCCTTCCTTCCTTCTTTCCTTGCTCTATCCTTCACTTCCCTCCATCCATCAGTCAGGTGTCTCTGTTAGAGGAGTATTATGTTTTGGTTTCCATGGCAATGAAGGATTAGCACATGTTGTTTGTCTGTCTGGTCTGGCTGTGACTGGGCACGGGAAGTCTGTGTACCCTGTGTGGAAATGCCTTCAAACCAGGAGCACGGTGTCTGCCGAACTCTTTTAGCTCCAAGCCATGGACGAAAGAGACGTCCTGTAAAAACCACTTGTAAAAATGCAAAAGGCCCCGACTTTAGGGCCACTATGAATGAGATTAATTGTCATTGTGAACAGTGTTTTGACACAGTTCATAGCGTGTTATTTGAATCTGATTGCATGTGAGTTAGGTCTCTTGTGCTCAGGGAGGCACATGACAGGCGACAGGATGAATCATATGAATTGCAACTTGTGTTTGGAATGATTGCTTCTAGCTTTCAGTTTTGCTAATGCCTAACGCACATAACAAACAAACCAATAGAAACACCTCAGAATAACATACAATAGATCTTTCTTGACACTGTCAAAGGCGGTTATTTCTGAGGGTGTTGTTTTATAGTGAAATTCATTAAATATCCTGTTAGGTGTCTTTAAGTCAGTGTTCATCAGTGTTAACTTGTGACCATTGTTCCTCCTAACCAACATAGTTTTCCTGCATTTGACGCATACTGTTTAATCATAAGTTTGAGACTTTCCCACATTACATCATTTGGCAATGTTTGTAAAGGATGCACTAGCAATTTTGGTTACAGCTTTCTGACCTTTCAACCTTTCAGTTCCCTTTTATTGCTGTGGTAGCGCATTTATAAAAATATCACCACCATACTAACATGGCCAGAATAACAACCCTAACATGCTAACACTATTTGCTAATTAGCACTAAACACAAATACAGCTGAGGCTGATGGGAATGTCATTATTTTGCAGGTATTTGGCAAATTACATTTTTTACATAGAACTAGATAAAAGGTTAGGTACCTGAATTATTACAATTCCTTCTTTTGGGGGAGATTAATCCATTTAATTCATTGAATCCATAAATGCTAAACAGGCCTCGCTTGTATCTTGCCAGCTAACATCTTCAACATTACTGTCTTCCTAACAACCAAGAAAAGCACTTAACAATGTTAGTGAATCACATGTAACACTTCCACAGTGAACCGACGGGCTAACAGTTGGCCTTTTCTGAATGCTTGTTTACGCTGCTGGTCTTGTATTTCCCTGAACCAGTCTCACCAATTGCTCTCACATGTGGGCTTAATTTGTTTTGCTGATGTGCTTGCTTGTTGGGTAAAAGCATTTTATGTGCTGTGGAATTGCAGCTTGAAAACATTGTAAATGACGGCACATGATGTGTGTCTCCGTGCATGAGTGTGTCTTTTTATCAGATGCATCTACCATCTACCAGCTCATCACAGGGCTGACACATTGAGATAAACAACTGGCGACCTGTCCATGTTGTACCCCACTGCTCGCCCAGTGTAGGTTGGGATCGGCTCCAGCCCCCCACGACTGTGCAAAGGATAACTGGTATTAGATAATGAATGGATGGATGGCTGTACCATGGCAGACTGTTTGCCCTGTGTACAAAGCCACAGAGCCATCTGTAGTGACCGTGGGTCCTACAGAAGAGAGCAGAGATGTAATAGAAATGGTTCTGTCTGCCTAACTCTACCTATATCGAACACCATCACCTAACATAGCACAGCCCAGAACATTAACAATAATTCACTCCAGGATTAACAGTAGCAGCATATATCTATAACTCTTACTCCACCTGTATGGGGCTCCAGACTAACTCTTTCCACTAGTAGCACTGGTGATACCCAATGAAGATTTTAGGAGCACCAGCACAAGATTTATGAGCATCGTTTTAATTGACATGTAACACCCAATATTTTTTCCATTTTAACTGTATTACTGACAGATGCTGATCATAATTTATAGAAATAAGCATTTGCTGTTTTACCTTAAAGGAAACAATTGAAACATAACAGTTTCACACTATGATTGTTAAATTGTGTAATTAGTCCATGGTTCACATGCATGCTCCTTACACCACTAACGCACACACGCCAATTCTCATTCCCCCAGTTTTTTACACAATGATAATTTAAAAAAACAACAAAAAGCATATTTGCAAGTCGTATTGGAGCTCCCAGTTCTAACATTTAGTATCGCTGTCTCGAAAAAATGTTCCAAGATGCAACTAAATTGTCACAGTCAGAGTTTTAGAAATCATGTGGTCGTCAGCCAAAGCCAACCCCACCGCACATTCAGTTATATTTTCTGCAAATTTTGTTCAACTAGAGCAGTTCTTTCAAGAAAATTCCTGAAATCAACATGAACTTTTTCCCTGTCTTCTATAATTAGTAGCAAATACGTACTTATTTCCAGAAAACTTAAGAACTTCCTTTAGAAATGATTGGAACTTATGGTCAGCTTAGTAAAGCATAACCAATTATTATTTCCAAATGTGAATGCCTAAACGCTATTTCCAAGTCCTCTTTCCGGTGGAAAAATACAGAATCTCGGCCATTAATAAAAGGTTGTCTAAAAACACCGAAAAATGTTTTTAAGTGAAAAATAAAAAATAAAATAAAAATTCCCAGAAAAAATACAAATGACATGACTGTCCTCAATGGTAGCTACAACCCTGCCCACATTTGTCTTCACTCTCCCACTTCATGTTCCCAAAGTGTCAGCACTAAACAGGATAATGTGACTGTATGTGTGTTGATTTCCTGAGTTTGTCCTATTCATGAAATAACCCAGTTGGTGAGAAAGCCTTGCAAAACACATTGATATGGATATGTATTATATTACTCAAGGCTCCAAGCTTTTCATTTTCCCTACAGTCCTGCTCAGTGACTCCTTAGAGACAGCTGAAATCTTTATTAGATAACATGCAACATCATTTTATACTGTACATGTTCAGATTGAGTTTCAGTTTGAGTTTTAGTATCATGTGCTAGTGACAACAACAATACAAGATAGAATGTCAGTTACTGCGGGGACCTAAAGGTAAAGTTGTTGTTTAGCCCTGACATGGCCCGTGGGGAAACTCTTGTACTGTGTCACAGTGTATTTGACCAGTGTTCCCCACTATTTACAAAAGACACACACCCAGAGTCTGCTCAGGTTTCTGTTGTGGGCGAAACTAACTCAGAAAAGAAAACTATTAGCCCTCATGTTCTGAACCTTGTTTGGGTAACATTTTTCTCCTCTGTGGCCTGAGTCTCTTCTATAATCGCCCTTGTCTGACCTGAGCCGCTCAAGCCTCCCCCCGCCCGTTCCTGGCACTGTCTGTCTTTGTTCACAGCTGGTGCTGCCATCCGCTGCTGCCTGTGTGAGTTTTCTGACCACCTAAAGAAGCATAGGGCAGGCTGTTGTCTTTGTCTTTTTCTCCATGCATCTCTCCGGAGTCGGAGAGATCTGCAGACAGCAGAGCTGCGAGATGGCTGGAGGAGGGAGGGGGTGAAAAGGGGGGTGCGAGGATGCCGGAGCTGGGGATCGGTAGCTCATCCTCAGCTTGGACACCAGAGCCGCAGTGTGGCGTGCCGGTGCACATTTTAAAACACCACGACTGTCTGCTCCTCGCTAGGTTTTGTTTGTTCCTCTTCTCCCCCCCTCCTCACCCTCCCTCCTCACCCTCCCTCCTTCCTCCTCTTACTTCTGTCAGTTCTTCTACCTCTATTTCTATCTCTCTCTCTTTCTCGTGGCTCTTACATCACCTGACTGGAGTTTTTTCTCGTCAATGCAGCAGCAAGTAGATGAGTCAGGCTGGGCTGACTCTCCTCTACCGCCATCCTGCCTCCCCTCTCCTCTACTCTCTCTCTGCAGACCTAGCCAGCAGACTGCATCACCCAGAAGAGAGGCGAACAAGAGCACAAACCTGTCACCCATTTCAACTTCCCCCGCCAGAGTGCTTCTTTCACTAGTGTTTGAGAGTAGCGCAAAACCAACACGTCCTCAATCAGAAAAGGGGAAATGTTGAGTCAAACATGATTCAATCTGCAATCAAAGAGCGTGCATTGGAATAGCTTATAAAGTGCAGTACTGAGTTTTTAGTTGCACTGAGAATATGTCTGTGCATTGCTGGAAAAAAGAGCGGCTAGCTCAATGGGTGCTCACCTTCAGTTCAAGAAGTGTGTGTGTGTGTGT